GGTGGGGGGCGGGTGGGTGGTGGTGGTGGTGGTGGCGCGAGTTCACAAAGGAAAGGAGACAAAGGGGGAGAGAGAGAATGACAAAGGAGACCCCAAGAGAAGGGAAGGAGGGAGGAAGGCAAGGTGGCAGATCCTGATGAGACAAGGACAGAGCTGAGGGAGGCAAAGAGAAGAGACAGACAAGGAGAGACAGACAAAGGAGTTACCAGAGCAGTTAGGAGTGTGGATTGTAGAACTGGATCAATTGGACCAGTGATGATTTTTTTAGCTGTGACGCACACGAATGCACACACACGCACACAGTTTACCTGTCTGAAGAAGGGGACCATAAATATCCCATCACATGGGTGTCCGCAGAAGTAAACCTGATGTTTGTAGAGATGGGACTGGGCCTGAGTATATAGTAAGGGCTCAGTAAATCATAGCAATTTTTTAAATGGGAGAAACAAAGATGGAGCAGAAAAATTGAGGGAAAAAAAAAGAGGAACAACAGAAAGAGGGAGGGCAGGAGGAAGGGGAAGACTCCGGAGGACGGAGCATATTGGAAAAGAGAAAGGATGAAGGAGAATGTGGGAGGGAGGAGACGGGGCTCTCCCTGGAGCCTAAGAGGGAACGGCATGGGTCAGGAAGCAGCCTGCCTCCTCCTACTCTCCATCTCCATTCCCCAGCCCCCAGGGGCTGAGCTTTCCCTTTCCTTCCGCAGGGACCCCAATGACCCCCGAGACCCCAAAGCCCCGCAGTGGCCACCGTACACGGCGGGAGCGCAGCAGTACGTGAGCCTGAACCTGCGGCCGCTAGAGGTGCGGCGGGGGCTGCGCGCCCAGGCCTGCGCCTTCTGGAACCGCTTCCTACCCAAATTGCTCAGCGCCACCGGTACGCAGGGGCCAGCGGGCAGGGGCTGGGAGGAGGCGGGGGAGAAAAGGGGCGCGGAGAGAGAGAGGGAACTGGGAGCCGGCCGGGTGTAACCCCTCTCTTCTCCCCCCAGCCTCGGAGGCCCCCTGCACCTGCTCAGGCCCCGCCCACGGGGAGGCTGCCCCGAGGCCCAGGCCCGGCCTCCCCCTGTCCCTCCTCCTCCTCCTCTCCCTCCTCCTCTCCCGGTTCCTGCGGCTGTGACCACGGCCTCTTCCCCCTCCGGCCTCAGGGGGCCCCTCCTCTAATGAGTGGTCGGACTGTGGGGAAGGGCTCCACTCAGGGATCTCCGACCCAGCGCCCCCTGCCTCCTCAAACCGAGAAACTCAAACTGGACAGGGCTGGGGGCAGGGGGGTAGTGGGGGGGGTGGGAGGACACCAACGACCCATCTCAGGGATCCACACGCCTTTATTGTTGAAATGAAAAAGCCAATTTTCTTTTTTCATAAAATTATTATTTGGAGCCTGAGCTTGGTGTTGGGGTGGGAGGGAGGCCCTAGGGCTAGATAGCACCCCCAGTGGGGCTATAACCGCCAACCATTTCTGTCTCTTCTCTTTTCCCCACCAACCCACGGATCCTTCTCCTCTGATCCCTTCTGTCCCCCTGTCTTCCGGTCATTTTCTCTCCCTCCCTCCTCCTTCCCGCCATCCTTCTCTGGCCCGCCTCTACCCTCGTCCTTCCCCTGGTCTTCCGTCTGTTGCATGTTCTCCTGATCCTCTTTCCACCACCCAACGTGGTCTCCTACATTCTCCGTGTGTCCTCCCTGAACTCACGCCCCCCTCCAATGTCCGTTCCCGTCCTTCCCCATGTCCTCCCCCACACCCACTTGCCGGGCACCCTGGCCGCAGACACGCTGGACGAGGCTGAGCGCCAGTGGAAGGCTGAGTTCCACCGCTGGAGCTCCTACATGGTGCACTGGAAGAACCAGTTTGACCATTACAGCAAGCAGGATCGCTGCTCAGACCTGTGACCCAGGAGGGACCCCCTCGTCCCGCTGCCCTGCCCGCCCCGCCCGGCCCCTCAGCTGTATATACTATTTATTTAAGGGTTGGGATATAACACAGAGGATCCCTAGACCCTGCCCACCCACCCCCGACTTTCCCCTGGGGCTCCCCGCCCTCTGCATGCCTCGGGCCGAGCCCCCTCCCCCGCGGTGCCTTCGCCCCTCTGGGCTGCCAATAAACTGTTACAGCCACAGGAGTGTGCGCGCCTGGGGTGCCAGGGTCCGGGCAGAATGCCTCAACCACTGGGGTTGAGTGAATGGAGGGATGGGTGCTAAAGCCGGCGGG